TTGTGTGTGTTTGTGTTGTGATTGTGTGTTTGTTGTGTTGTGATTGTGTGTGTGGTGTTGTGATTGTGTGTGTGTGGTGTTGTGATTGCGTGTGTGTTGTGATTGTGTATATGTGGTGTGGTGATTGTGTGTGTGTGGAGTGGTGATTGTGTGTGTGCACATGCTTCTTATACTTGATCGTTTCCTGTGTGTCTATGGTATACCATGTATTGTACGTCTGTTGCCGTAGTCTGCGTGGCTGTGTGAGGTGTTGCATAGAATAGCTGCTTTCTGGGCATTCTGATTCTTGCTATCACGTATGACCTTAGTGTGGTTGTGTGTTGTATTTAAATGTCTGATGTCTGTTGAGTGGGTTGGTTGCGTCTGTTCGCACAGAGTGTATTGTCACTCATTGTCTCACCTGTTTTAGGGTTTAGGGTTTTAGTCATCGTATGACATTAAAACGACAGCAACGAATGTGCCGTTCCATTCATTGCCGTATTCGTTTGCTGTCTGACCGATTCTTATATTTGCAGCAAATGAAAAGGTTTCAAACCCCCTAAAACCCTAAAACCCTAAAAGTGAATGAAGGAGATTGGAATTCTTACTGGCCCATAATCCGCACCATGTTGTATTTGTTAGTTGGTTTATGTCAAATGGTCAGTTTATGTCAGTTGGTTTATGTCAAATGGTCGGTTTATGTCGGTTGGTTTATGTCAGTTGGTTTATGTCAAATGGTCGGTTTATGTCGGTTGGGTTATTCGTCTGACGTTTGGTTTTATTTTTGTCTGATATCTGACAGGTATTGTGATTGCCTATAATCATAAAACGGGTGCGTGGGGTGCGCCTGCGGGTATTGAGATGGTGGGCGGCGGATGGGGCGCTCAGATCGGTGGCCAAGTGTCGGATATTCTACTGGTACGTATGTATGTCGTATTTTATTTATTCAAATGTCGGATATTCTACTGGTACGTATGTATGTCGTATTTTATTTATTGAAGTATCGGATATACTACTGGTACGTATATCCTACTGTGCTTAACCTATACCTTCGCCCTAGAGGCATCTGTATAAAGCGAAGGCATATGTATGTATACATACTTACTTCGTATCTTGAGTGGTGAACTGACTCTCGACCATTTGTCCTTTCATACCCTGTCTTTCATATGGGCGAGGATGTATGTGTGTATGTATGTACATAGGTCTGTCTCTCATCTGTAGTATTTAACATAGGTATGTCTCTCTTCTGTAGTATTTAATAATGTATGTGTATGTATATATCTGTAGTATTAAATAAAGTGTGTGTATGTGTGTACATAGGTCTCTCTTTCATGTGTAGTATTTAAATAATGTGTGTGTGTATCTATTAAATAATGTGTGTGTGTGTCCGTAAGACTCTCTCTCTCATACATGTGTAGTATTAAATAGTTGCATGTGACTTGTACACCTTCTCTCTCAGATCTTAAACACAGATGCTGCGGTTAAGGCGTACTGCGGTGGTTCGGTGACGTTAGGTGGTGCACTCAGTGCCGCTGCTGGGCCGTATGGAAAGAACGCCGAAGCAGGTAACAAACCCTAAAACCCTAGACACAACAGCGTTTGAACAGATACTTAAACAAACACATACATGCATGCACACACACATATATATATATATATATATATACATACTTGCATACACACACACACACCACACTCATATGCAT